TAGCACAGTACCAGGACTTGCTCAGGGACTGCAGTCCTTGTGGTTTAGACTGCCTTTTAAGTTTATTTAGGATCTCGGAGTGCTTTAGCCTACAGGGGCAAGGCTTGCCCAAACTTAGCTGTTGCTAGGATGGATGATTCCCCTCTGGCTGAGGTTGGTCTAAATACTCCCTCCATGGGTGCCAGTTGACTTCTGCCCTGTTTTGCCTTCCATTGCGACAGGGCAGCGCTGAGTTCCAATGCAAAGTCCTACAATCACTTTGCTCTTCCTCTTGCGAAGGCATAGATTCTCTCTCAGCCACCACACTGCACTGCCAGGGGATGTAGGAGGGGTGGTGTAAGCAATTCAAGACTGTCTTTCCTACCCTCTTCAGTGCCTCTTTCCTTCATACAATGTTAAAACTAGGTACTGTGATTGGTCACCTGATTTTTGGTTCTTATGCAGATGCTTTCTTGTTTGAATAATTGTTTAATTTGATGTTCCTTGGTGGGGACTGTCACTGGAGAGTTCTAATGAGCCATCTTGCTCTGTCTCCTCCTCCATATTTGTTGATCTTAAAAAATGCTCCTGTAAATACTGTTGTACTTAAGTCCTTGTGTACATAGATGTACATTTATCTAGGGAAGCATCTAAAAATAGAGTTCCTGGGTTTTTGTTTTAGAACTTTAGTAAGCAGGTCAAGCATCTCTTTAGAATGATCCATCAATTTACACTCCCACCAACAGTGCATTAGAGTTCTTTCTGCTGACTGGTGAGATTATCTTTTCATGTATTTATCTTAGCCATTCTATATGGTATCTTGTATTAGGTTAATTATATTTTACATATTGATTTTTAGGAATTATTCACATACTCTGAATAATTATCATTTGTCTCAATGATGTATATTTTAGATACTTCTATCCTGTAGATATTTTAGATATGTCTACAGGAAGAAGTATCTAAAATATCCCCTTTTTTTTTCGTTTTGCACATGATATTTTTTCTCATACTAAAGGTATATAATTTTATTATTGTGGAATTGAATAATTTTTGCCATTAGGGTTGTATTTTTAAAATATTTCCAGATGCTATGGAACTATTGCAAAATTTTAAATTAACTTTAAAAAAATTTTTATTTTCACTTTTAGACTTTATCTGGAATTTGGTTTTATATATTAGTACAAGATAGTGATTGAATGTTATTGTTTACTTCTTTACTCATTTTTACTCCTCTCTATGAATTTTGGAATTATTTGTAAAGATCCATGAAAAAATTTGAAGGGAGAGTGGGAACTGTATTAAATTTATAGACTACTTTGGAGAAAAAAGATAATATTAAATATTTTCACACATAAACATAGTGGATTTCTCCATTTATTGAAGTCTTTTTTACGTTCTTCGATGTTTTATACATTTTTAAAATAAGGTCTTGCTCTGTCACCCAGACTGGAGTGCAGTGGTGTTCATAGCTCACTGTAATCTCAAATTCAGGCAATCCTCCTGCTTCAACCTCCCTAGTAGCTGGGATTACAGATACAAGCTATCATGCCTGGCTTATGTTTTGGAGGGATGGGGTCTTGTTATATTGCCTAGGCTGGTCTTGAACTCCTGGGCTTAAACAATTCTCTCATGTTGGCCTCCCAAAGTGCTGTGATTATAGGTGTGTGCCAGCGTAACTGGCAATATTTTATAATGTTATCTATGAAGGTTTTTTTATATTTCTTATTAATTTTATTTCTGTTCTAACAGTTTTGTAACTTGTGAATTTAAAAAATGCATAATGTTTTATATTTTCTTAACTTTTTATTTTGAATAATTTCAAACCTACAAAACAGTTAAAAGAGTAGTATAAGTAGTACAGTATACACCTGTATACCCAAGAACTAGATCCACAAATTGGTAACATTTTGCTCATTCCCCTTTATTTGTATACACACACATACGCACACACAGCCTAGTTATGTTAAATTTTTTATTTGCTAAGTTATTTGAAAGTAAGTTGCAAGATTTATAATACTGTATCCCTAAACACTTCACTATGTGTCTCTTAAATCTAAGACACTCTTTATAAAACCTCCATGCCATCATATCAAAGATATTTAATATTTGATACTTTACAGTACCCACACATTATTATATACTCTGTTGTCTGTTGAATGGGATTTTAAAAATAACCTTTTCTAAGTAGTTATTACAAATGATTATGGGCTGGGTACAGTGTCTCACACCTGTAATCCCAACATTTTAGGAGGCTGAGGCAGGCAGATCACGTGAGGTCAGGAGTTCAAGACCAGCGCAGCCAATGGTAAAACCTTGTCTCTACTAAAAATAGAAAAATTATCTGGGCATGGTGGCGCATACCTATAATCTCAGCTACTCAGAAGGCTGAGGCATGAGAATTGCTTGAACCCGGGAGGCGGAGGTTGCAGTGAGCCAGGATCACACCACTGCTCTCCAGGCTGGGTAATAGAGTGAGACTCTGTCTCAAAAAAACCCCAAAAGCCAAATGGTTATGAACTTTCGATTTTGTGTATGTGTATAGCAATAATTAGAAATTCATATTAGTTGCAATACTTTGTCTTTAGATTTTCTTGAGTGCAGTGATAAATTCTTATTCAATGTAATAAGTTGACTCAGATTTTTGCTTATCTTTGTAAATAATCAGGTCATCTACGAATAATTTTCTTTTTTTCCTATGTAACTTTTAGTAAAATTATTGAAAAATTCTTCAATTAATTTTAATATCCTAATTATTGATATATATTTTTTAAAATATTGTATCTTAGTTAACTTATAAGTGCATGAAAATGAAATCTAAATTTCTGTATTTTAGGAAAATTCACGAATCGTGAGAGTAAAAGTTATAGCTGGAATAGGCCTTGCCAAGAAGGATATATTGGGAGCTAGGTAAGTATATCAATTTGGATTATAATTTTAAAACTTTGTATTTGTTAATTTTTTCCAAACTTTGGTTAAATTAAAAATCAAATAGTATTAGTAAATTGTTGTGGAAAGTATAATAATAATATTACCAGTTGGTGGTTTACTAAATCTCTTGGTGTCTGAATTACAAAATTTGTGAAATTAGGCAGAAGTACGAATGATAGCAATAGTCACAAGATACATTATTGAACTCTGGTTCTGGAAATTTGTAAAATTCTAACAGACTAATCCTTTAGCAGGTAACAACCGTCAACTCTGGACTTAATACAAAAAGCAGCAACTTGAAGGCAGTGGAGAGTGAACAGAGCAGGCAGATTCTGGTGGGGAGTTCATGTTTGGAAGAAGGGAATTGTACTGAGTGAGTTCCTGATACTATGAGTTGGTCTGAGGGCAGGTAGAATCAGAACCTGGAAAAATTGTAGTCTTCATGGCCCAGGAAAGTAGCAGAATCCAAACTTTGGTTCAATTAAAAATCAAATCAGGCTGGGCATGGTGGCTCACGCCTGTAATCCTAGCACTTTGGGAGACTGAGGCAGGCGGATCAGTCGAGGGTCAGGAGTTTGAGACCAGCCTGACCAACATGGTGAAACCCCGTCTGTACTAAAAATAAAAAAATTATCCAGAAATTGCTTGAACCCAGGAGGCGGAGGTTGCAGTGAGCCGAGATTGTGCCACTGCACTCCAGCCTGGGCAACAGAGTGTGCCTCTGTCTCAAAAACAAAAATATATACCTACGTACATACATACATACATACATACATACATACATACATACGTATGTACCAAATAGTATTAGTAAGTTGTTGTGGGAAGTAGAATAATATTTCCAATTGTTGATTTACTGAATCTCTGAATCTGAAGAAAACATGGCAATGGTAAGGATTCTGGAAGGGAGAGAGCTGAAGAGCTCAGCAACTCAACTGAAGACAAAAGATCTGAAGAGAAATCAGTGTTACTGCCTAAGAAACGGGGTTTGGGAGACTGAGGCAGACAGATTGCTTGAGCTCAGGAGTTTGAGACCAACCTGGGAAATATGGTGAAACTCCATCTCTACAAAAAATACAAAAAATCACCTGGGCATGCTGGCACATGCCTATACTCCTGGCTACATGGGGGACTGAGTCAGGAGGATTGCTTGAGCCTGGGTGATTGAGTCTTCAGTGAGCCAAGATTGTGCCAGCACACTCCAGCCTGGGTGACAAAGTGAGGCCGTGTCTCAAAAAACAAACAAAAACAGGATTTGTGGCTCTTGTCGGAACAAGATGATTAATTGCATGATAGTCTTAATCTGTTTAGTGTTGCTATAACAGAATTCCTAAGACCGTGTATTTTGTAAAGAAAAGTGGTTGATTTGGTGCGTGGAAAGTTCAAGACTGGGCCTTTGCATCTAGTGAGGGCCTCAGGCTGATTTCAAGTCATGACAAAAAGGGGAGGGAGACCTAGCATAGGCAAAGAAATCACATGGCAAGAGAGGAAGCAAGGGGGAGGTGTGCCAGCCTCTTTTTGACAAATAGAGAGGAACAAATAGAATGAGAACTCACTCACTCCCGAGGGAGGACATTAATCTATTCAGGAGGGATTTGCTCCCATGACCCAAATACCTCCAACTGAGACCCATCTTTCAATATTCCCACATTGGAAATCAAATTTCAACATGCAGTTTGGAGGGTACAAATATCCAAACCATAGAATGATAAGCAGAGACACACACACACACACACACACACACACACACACAGCAGCAGCAGCAAAATTCACTCTCCAAAACTTAACATTTATAATATATGTCGGCCAGGCACAGTGGCTTACGCCTGTAATCCCAGCACTTTGGGAGGCTGAGGCGGGCGGATCACGAGGTCAGGAGATCGAGACCATCCTGGCTAACACGGTGAAACCCCGTCTCTACTAAAAATACAAAAAATTAGCCGGGCGAGGTGGCAGGCACCTGTAGTCCCAGCTACTCAGGAGGCTGAGGCAGGAGAATGGCTTGCAGTGAGCCAAGATCGCGCCACAGCACTCCAGCCTGGGCAGCAGCGAGACTCCATCTCAAAAAACAAACAAAAAAAAAACCCCCCAAAAAAACCATTTATAATATGTGTCCAGAATATAATGCAAAATTACTTATCTAAAAGAACCAGGAAAATGGAAGGCATTGTCAGTAGAGAAAATATGCCCACAATAAATTTAAAAAATATGAAATGAAATGGAAATCATAAACAAAAGAAAATTCCAAGAGTGAAAAAACAGCATTTGAAATTAAAATTGTTGGGTAGATTTATCAGCCAAATGGAGAAGAGGAAAGATGAACTGAACTTAAAGATAGATCAGTAGAAATTGTTACCCAGTTGGAGGATGAGAGAGACAAGAGAGACAAACATTGGAGGTAAAAACAAAAAACAAAAAAACACAGCCTTGGGGATTTGTTAGATAATATATAAAAGTCTAACGTGGATATCGTTATATAATATCTTACAGTCTAACACAGAAAGGGGAGGGGAATGAAGAAGGCAAAATATTTTTTGGAGAAATATTGGCCAAGTTTTTTTTTCCAAATTTGATTAAATTCATATAGTATTGAAAAACGCCAAGCAGGATAATAAACACTAAGAACACAATGAGGTGCGTAATAGTCAAACTGTTGAAAGCCAGGTATAAAGAGAAAAATCTTGACAAAAAGAGAAAAGTATGACCCTTTATATATGGGGGAACTACAAGTCAATTAATTACTGACTTCCTACCCAAAACGATAGAGACCAGGAGAAAATGGAACAATAAAATAACAACCATCAATCCATAATTTTATATTCAGTGAAAATATCCTTTAAGGAAGATGAGAAAATAACATTTTCCAAAAAAAAGACAACTAGAGAATTCATCACTGGCAGACCTGCCCTGTAAGATATCTTCAAGAAAGTCCTTTCCGCTGAAGAAAATTGAAACCAGATAGACACTCAGGTCCTCAGAAAGGAATAAAGAGCATCAAAAATAGTAAATATCTGAGAATATACAAAACATGTTTTCCTTTTATCATCATATCTTTTTAAAATAAAACATATGCCTATTGAAATCACAACCTAAAACATTGTTTTGTAGGATTTATATTGCTGATGGAATACATATAACAACTGTGACATAAAGGATGGAGCAGGTGTAAATTATGGACCTATGTGGTAGAATGGTATAATACTAAGTATAAGTTGAATAAAAGATTAATGATGTGTAGTGTAATATCCAGAGAAACCAATAAAAAATAGTGCAAAAAATTATAGATAAAAAACAGTAGAAGTTTTAAAATGAAGTTGTTGAAAAACTAAATAAACAAAAAGCCAGGAACTTAAGCCCAGGGGTTCAAGACCAGCCTGGGCAACAAAGTGGGACCCTGTCACTACAGAAAGTCAAAAAATTAGCCAGGTGTGTTTGTATGCACCTGTGGTCCCAGCTACAAAGGAGGCTGAGGTTGGAGGATCACTGGAGCCCAGGAGGTCAAGGCTCCAATGAGCCGTAATTTTTTGCCACTGTACTCCAGCCTAGGTAACAGAGTAAGACCCTGTCTCCAAAAAAAAGAAAAAAAAAAAATGCCAGAAAAGGAGAAACAAATGATCAAAAAAAGTAAACGAGGCCAGTTGTAGTAGCCCACACCTGTAATCCTAGCACTTTGGGAGGCTGAGGCGGGTGGATCACCTGAGGACAGGAGTTTGAGACCAGCCTGGCCAACATGGTGAAATCCCATCTATACTAAGACACAAAATTAGCTGGGTGTGGTGGCCTATGCCTGTAATCTGAGCTACTGAGGAGGCTGAGGCAGGAGAATCAGTGGAAGCCAAGAGGCGGAGGTTGCAATGAGCCAAGATCACACCATTGCACTCCAGCCTTGGCAAAATAACTAAACCATTAAAAAAAAAAAAAAGTCAGAAAAGGAGGAACAAATGATCAAAAAAAGTAAAAGGGGCCGGGTGCAGTGGCTCACGTTTGTAATCCCAACACTTTGGGAGGCTAAGGCAGGTGGATCACCTGAGGTCAGGAGTTCGAGAGTAGCCTGGGCAACATGGTGAAACCCTGTCTCTACTAAAAATACAAAAATTAGCTGGGTGTGGTGGCGGGCATCTTAATCCCAGCCACTCAGGAGGCTGAGGCAGGAGAATTGCTTGAACCCGGGAGGTGGAGGTTGCAGTGAACCAAGATTATGCCACTGCACTTCAGCCTAGGTGACAAGAGTGAAACTCCATCTCAAAAACAAAAAAACAATGTAAAGGGCAGGAACAATGGAAAACAATAAACCTGGTAGACCTAAATCCAATCATATCAATAATTACATGGAACATTAATGGATTAAAATAAATATGAGACAGAGGTTGTTAGGATAAATTAAAAAACAAGACCCAACTATATACTGTCTTATGAGATGCACTTAAAATATAAAGACATAGCTAAGTTGAAAGAAAGTGGAAGCAAAAATATATGCCATGCAAACAGTAAGCATAAAAAGACTGAAGTGGATATATTAGTGTCTGGTAGAACAGATTTAAACACAAACATTTTCAAACATTTCGTGATGATAAAGAATAAAGTCAATCAAGAATATATAACAATCATAAATGTATGTGTGCCTGCTAAAATAACTTAGAAAAATATGAATCAAAATTTGACGGAATTAAAGGGGAAATTTTTAAAACTCCCACCATCATAGTTGGAGGCATTGACACTTCTCTTTCAGCAGTTGATAAAACAACTAAATAAAAAAATCAAAAACATAAATTTGAACAATATTATGAACAACTTTGACCTAAAGAACACTATTTCTAACAACTTTATTTTCAAGTGTACATGGTACATTTGCTAGCGTAGACCACATATGGGCTGTATTAGTTTATTGCTGCATAATAATATTACCACAAACTGGCCGGGCGCGGTGGCTCAT